TAGAATAGAATAGAATAGAATAGAATAGAATAGAATAGAATAGAATAACAGAGTTGGAAGGGACCTTGGAGGTCTTCTAGTCCAATCCCTGTAGATAAATATTGGACCACAAGTTTTCATCAAGCTTTCTATTTATCCTACAAAATAATAAATACCTTATTCAAATGCCAAGTTTGAAAAACCTATCTTCAAAAAAAATCTGATGTGATTTCATACAACGGTTCGTTGTTGTCACCATTGTGATAACTTGACAAAAATCATGAGACTGCCAACCTAGACATCTTTATGCAAAGTGACAAATATTGTCCATTTAGATATACTTTCCTCATCCTTCCAGAAGTTGCTATTTTCGTGTGACAAGAGAACATTTGGGTTTGAACTTTTCATACTTGTTTTCCCTAGTTCTGGAAAAAAAAATCACTTGGAAGGAAGAGAAAAACAATGGGGAATGCTATCAAACTACTGAAAACAGCACCTGAAGTGAAGAGTACACCTTGGCAATCAGGTAGGTGGTTTTTTAAAAAGAAATTTAATGAGGAGGACATAGGAAGGAAAAACAAATACAGAAATGGAATGATAACTAGAAACATATTCCTGTAGACAGCTAGCCTACAACTTCCCATGACATCATAGTTGGCATCAATGCTTGGTAGCTCACCACATGCTGGGGTCCCAGTGGCCAAATGTTGGCCTCTTCCCCAAAGTCCCTTTCAGCTGGTGTTTCAGACTCTCACATGATAGAAAGCTGTTATTTTAATTCTGCACAATTCCTTTCTGTGCGGTTCTCTTTTTCTACCAAACAGGCCTATGTTTTAGGTTGACTTGCTCAAATGAGGGTTCTTCTGAGAAATGGCTTCCTTTTTTTATTGGGGAAGAAGGAGAAAGCACCAAGACTCTCTCTTCTTCTTCCAGTTTGAACTGGTTTTATGCCGTATTCCCCCAGTCTGCCTATTGTTCTTTTGACTTGTATTTACCAGGCTTAACTTTCAACCTGACAGCCAACCAAGCTTTTGATATGATTTTTCTCTACATCTGTGGCCCACCAGATCCCAACAATTTACCTCAAGCACAGGTAGACCTTAACTTATAAAAAAAGAGACTTATGACCATTTTTCACACTTATGACCCCACAGTCTCATGATCAAAATTCAGATGCTTTGCAACTGCCTGATATTTATGATGGTTGCTGTGTCCTGGGGCCATGTGACCACCTTTTGTGATCTTCTGACAAGAAAAGGCAATGGCGAAGCCAGATTCACTTAACAACTGTGTTACTAACTTAACTGCAGTAATTCACTTAATATGTCAGCTTTGGAAGCCATATTCCATGCTGCCACATAGCCTGAGAAAGTGGGATTGGGGGTTGATTTCAACTGAGTAGCTCTAAGCAGACAAAATAAAATTCTTTTGTTAGTCCAAGGTCACTGAGTCCAATGGCGCAGGATGAAATAAGGATCTTACTTTTGGATGGATCGTGATTGAGCCATGTGATGTGATGACGGCCAAGGGGGGATGGATTTATAGTTTGGAAAATTGTGGGAAGCCTGAAAATCTTTTAGATTCGGGATTCCACAGATGTGCCAGGTGCTATTCTAATAAAGGTACTTTTGAGATATGTTTGTCTCAGAGTTACTGATCGGAATGGAGGTTTGCTGGAATGCTGACATAATAACTGGGGCAAGAAAGATTGTAAAACTCATTTTACGACTCTCTGAGCAACAAAAATGTATGGATGAACTGTGGCCATAATTCAAGGACTCCCTGTATTTTCTTTTTCACAACTATGCCTAAAAATCCCCCCTGAATTAGGTGCACCCCTCCTGTTTCAATTCTCTTACTGGAATTCAAGTTTAGGTCACCTGCCCCTTGGGGATAACCGATTTAGCAACTTCAGTGGTTCTTTGTTTAAATATCTCATTTTTATGCTTCATTTCATTGTATTTTATTACTTTCTTTCACCAAAAGGTATTATTGCTAGTTATGTTAAAGCCTTTAGCTGAATGGAAGGGAAGAATATAAAAATGAATGAATGGAAAGGTTAACGAATAAGAGGATGCTGTTTTTATTTTTTGACTCAAATGGCGGGGAGTCAAAAATGAAGTCAGGCTAAAAGACGATTTAACTTTGTTCTTTCCAGTTCTTTTAATCTGGATGAAAATTCATACCTCTTTGTGTGAATGTTTCCTTAAATGGCTGCTCCATCACTAGATGTTATCTGAACTAACTTATCTGAAATAAGATAGGTTCTCCTGCTTGAGCAGGGGGCTGGACTAGAAGACCTCCAAGGTCCCTTCCAACTCATTCCTTCTATTCTGTTCTAAATGTAAGCACGTTTGAAAGTAGTCTTCAAATATTATAAACTTGTGCCCTTTCTAATACAGGTAGTCCTCAACTTATGACTGCAATTGAGCCCAACATTTCTGTTGCTAAGTGAGACATTTGTTTTGTCCCATTTTATTACTTTTCTCGCCACGGTTGTTAAGTGAATCTGGTTTCCCCGTTCACTTTGCGTGTCAGCAGGTCACAAAAAGGGATCACATGATCCTGGGAATACCGCAACTGTCATAAATGTGAGTCAAGTTGTCAAGCATCTGAATGTAAATCATGTGACCCTGGGGAATGCTGTGATGGTCGTAAGTGTGAAAAAATGGTCATCAGTCACTTTTTTCAGTGCCATTGTAACTTTGAATGGTCACTAAGTGAACCATTGTAAGTTGAGGACTACCTGCGCTGCACATCTTTATGTACAAGTTCCCCATAAACTAAAGATTTGGTTATTCGATTTTTAAATTGTACTTAAAATGTACAAAAATGCAAAAATTTCGGTTTGCATGAAAAAGTAGAACATTTCTTGGAATGAATTACGGGGCCTGCTTATTTTCCCCTCCTCGCTCATTTTCCACTAGTTAAAACTACATCGACTTTGTATCTTGACTGCAGCTATTTATCAGTTCATCATTTTATGTTCTAACACTAAAGACTTTTTTTAAAAAAAAAAATCAACACTAAAGCATGTTGATACTTGATAAGACCAATAGATTGTTCTTTTAAAATATGTGTTCAGTCAAAAAGAACAAAGATTTCTTTATTTTATATATTTCTAATGAGATTATCAGATCCAGGCTGTATTTATCTTTCCTGGCTATTTAACTATTGAAGGCCAGATCGATACTTTCCTTGCTGTCTTTCTTCTAACATCTCCATAAGTATCTAATCCATCTAAAAACCTGTTGTAGCTATTTTAGTTATGGATTGATTATGAGATCCTACTTACACAATAGTGAGGGAAAACGGCACTGTCTTTTTCCACAAGTTTTAATTATTCACGGACATGGTGACCATAGCTTATTTTTTGTAAGTAAAGGACAGGAAGACAGGAAGAGTCAAGAGAGGAATTAGCCTGAAGTCATTATGTTCCCCTAAGCGATATAAGTCCAGACCCTCTTGAATTCCGTAGACTCTTATCTAGTATCAATTTAGTGCTGTTAGTAGACTAGATTCTTGTGTGCAGGCTTCAGTAATAAATCAATTTTGTGTGGCCCTGATTATTCGTACCTGACATTTTCCTTGATTAAAATGTCAATGCCAATTTTCTTTCAACATGTAGCACTGTGGGAAGAGCCCCAGCCATCTCCCCAGACTAAAATGTTCTACAGAATATTAAAAGGGGAGGAGTAGAATATTTGAGAAGAGGAGAAAAATCCCCTTAAAATAAAGACAGGAAGCAGCCCCCAATCTTTCTGCTCTAGGAAAACAGTCTCAAGCAGAAGCCTGAAGGGGTTAGGCTTTGTGAATGGATATTTTGTAAAGCCAGGCCACTCTATTCATAAACAAAGGGAATCTGAATAAGCAGCACAATAGACAAGGTGCTGAAACTGACATGATTAGCTCAAACAAACGAAACACCCAGGATTTGCATTTCCTCTTTTGCCTGTAGAGCCAGCCATGACCCCTACATGATCCCATAGTAATCTATCAACAGCCATTGAAATATTAAAGGGCATGAACAGGCATCTCAATGACAAAGCCACCTAAAATTGTATAAAAGCCCATCTATTCTCAACCCCAATTTGTCAGCCACCTCAAAAACATGCTGCTGTCACTGTTGTTTCTGGCTACCAAATAAATGGAGACCTTCTTTCCAACTGCAGTTCATTTCTCCTGCGTCTTTCTCGCAGCTTGGAATAAGAACCAGACCAGATTTTATTTCCAACATCACCTTTCAAATTGCTTCTTCTGCCTTTTACAACTTATCAATTTTCTTGTTTCAGTCAAGGACAAAGATGTTAATAGCCAATTCAGTTCTCCGATAGATTATTCCTGTGTATGTGCAAAACTCATCAATCAGGAGTCTTCAACACATCCTGAAGTTGGATCACTACAAAATACTATTTATGGGGGAAATATTAGTGGGTAAGACTCAAGAGAATTGAAGAAAGACAGAGCAAATTTAGCCATTGCAAAGAACCAAACATTTATTCCCTGAGACTATTTCCTGCAAAGAGGTGGGAGAAATGACTATAACTGGGCTGAACTATGACTTAAGGCTGGTTATATTGTCACTTACCAATAAAGCCTCAATTCTTAGCCCTTAATTGGGGTGGGGGCATCTTCTCTAGAACTCCAGGAGACAGCCAAATGTCCCTGAGTAATCTACAAGCAGGAGATCTTGCTTGCCAAGATCTTATGATACTTCTGAGACAGGACAGGTCCCATATATGGAGCACTTGTATCTCCATCTGGTCTACTACAAGTTAGGCTGAGAGTTCTTCCAACCCTACTCAGATTTTTCAGCAAGGATACCAAGCATGAAATTCAAAGATCTGTTAGCAAAGCATTGATCTCAATTCTTGTCTCACCTTATCTCTACAAAGGAAGTCAGTGCTATAATTCTATTTTTTTCTCTCTATAGGATCCTTTCTTTGGCTTCCTGCTCTCTTTCTTTCTTTTCTTTTCCTTCCTTCTTTCTTTTCTTTTCTTTTCTTTTCTTTTCTTTTCTT